TCATGCCACCAGGTCTGTCCCACAAGAGAGGGCCTTCTTGTCTTGACAAGCCGCGGGCAGTTTGTAGTCCCCATAGTTCACTGCCATGCAGCTCGCCTTGCTTCCCAGCTGCAAGTCAATCCGATCGAGGATTTGGTGGTTGAGGCGGCAGTCCTCCTCGTCGCACTTCAGCACCAAACAGCCTTCTGACATCTTGATGCTCTTCGGCGCACTGCCGCCATTGTTGATGGTAACGGTAAGGCGCAAGTTATTGCTGGCAGTCACAGACACCCCCCCGCAGCCATTAGGGCCGCAATAAAGGGTGAGAGGCACCTTGAACTCAGTGGAGAAGAATGCCAGTGAACTGTCCGTGCATGCGAATGGGAAATGGACATCGTTGCTGTGACAACTCATGTGGGTCAATCCCGTAAAGGTGGAGTATTGACAACCTCCACAGATCACTTTTGGCCCAACGCTGGAAGCACCGGCCAACTCAAAAGCAGAGTTCGAACATGAGTTCGCGCCACAAATCAGATACTCAGCATGGGTACCTTTGGTATCAACGGTCTTCTTGCATCCGTTGCAGGAGTTGTCCTGCCCACACTCAGGCCAGTTGGCGCAAGCTGCCGCTTGCACCTTGGTGGTTTGCTTCTTATCGGTTTGCTCCGTCGACGGGATGCAAGTTGAACTTCCAGGCATGCAGTGGCCGTGGATGCAAGACATGCTACACTTCTCTTCACACGTAAGTCCAATGCATGACCCAGCTTCGCAAGTCTGACAAGAGTCACACGTAAAGACGTGGCCCTGGTACTCGCAAACCTTGGGAATCCCTGCCCGCTTGACTTGAAGTTGGGCAAGAGACGAAGCCTCGCAATCTTCACCTTGGCAATCAAGGCCCAAGGTGGAAGCGGCCCATGTGATTGCAAGGAGCTTGAACATGGCCATGGCTAGGGTTCAGCTTGGGGCAAGCTTGGGGCAAGCTGCGAGCTAGCTAGGGAACTTGACACCGAAATCACTTCAGCCAGTTGCATGCTTGTCGCGTGGCGGAAACAGGGCACAAAGAAAACAGCTCACCAATGATGCGGATGTGACAAATTGCACAAACTGCTGCAGACATGGCCTTCAGTTCTTCAACATGAGTGCGCCAATGCATCCAGGCAGGAACGGATGCAGTGGTCCATGGTCCACACTTGATAGTCACAATCTGCACCAACGACGAAACAAGATGGAAGCCACGAACCCGAATGTATTCACGTTCTTGGACTACGAGTGCAAACCTCTGCAATAGGAAAACGAACCTTTTTTTGCATGCATCGTGCGCTCATATCGTCTCAGCGAACGCGCCTGAGCAACAGTTCACAAAGAGACAACTAACCAGCACAACAACATCACCACCAGCACAACGAAATCACAACCAGCACAACAATATCACCCACACTCCACACTTTACACTCCACACTCTCCACTTTACACTCTACACTTTACACTCTACACTCCACACTCGACACTTTCCACTTCACACTCCTCACTCCTCACTCCACACTCCACACACTACACTCCACACTCCACACTCTACACTTTACACTCCACAGTCCACACTCCACCACACTCTACACTCTACACACACCACACTCCTCACTCCACACTTTACACTCCACACTCCACACTTTACACTCCACACTCTACTCTTTACACTCTACACTTGGCACTCTACACTTCACACTCGACACTTTCCACTCCAGGCTCCACACTCCACACTCTACACTTTGCACTCCACACTCCACACTTTACACTCCACACTCCGCACACTACACACTACACTCCAAACTTTACACTCCACACTCCACACTCCACCAAACTCTACCCTCAACACAGACCACACTCCTCACTCCACACTCCACACTTTACACTCCACGCGCCACACTTTACGCTCCACACTTAACACTTTACACTCCTCACTCCACGCTCTACACTCTACACTCTACACTCCACACTCCACCAAACTCTACACTCTACACCCGCCACACTCCACACTCCACACTTTAGACTCCACACTCTACACTTTACACTCCAAACTCCACTCTCTACACTTTACACTCCACACTTTACACTTTGCACTTTACACTCCTCACTCCACACACTACACTCCACACTCCACACTTTACACTTTGCACTTTACACTCCTTACTCCACACACTACACTTCACACCCCACACTCCTCACTCCACACTCAACACTTTACACTCTACACTTGACACTCTACACTCCACACTACACTTTACACTCCACACTCCACACTTTACACTCGACACTTTACAGTCCACACTCCACACTTTACACTCTACACTTGACACTCTACACTTCACACTCTACACTTTACACTCCACACTTTACATTTTACACTCCTCACTCCACGCTCTACACTCTACAGTCCACACTCCACCACACTCTACACTCTACACCCACCACACTCCTCACTCCACACCCCACACTTTACACTCCACACTTTACACTCCACACTCCTTACTTGACACTCCACACTCCACACTCTACACTCCACTCTCTACACTTTACACTCCACACTTTACACTCCTCACTCCACACTCAACACTTTACAGTCCACACTTTACACTTTACACTTTGCTCTTTACACTCCTCACTCCACACTTTACACTCCACACTTTACACTTCACACTCCTCACTCCTCACTGCGCACTCCACACACTACACTCCACACTCCACACTCTACACTTTACACTCCACAGGCCACACTCCACCACACTCTACACTCTACACACACCACACTCCTCACTCCACACTCCACACTTTACACTCCACAAGCCACACTTTACACTCCACAATCCTTACTTTACACTCCGCACTAGACACTCCACACTCCACACTCTACACTTTACACTCCACACTTTACACTCTACACTTTACACTCCACACTTTACACTCCACACTCTACACTCTTTACACAAAGTTTGCACACAGACAGTTTCCAGTACTACGTTGTAAGACAAAGCTTGCACAAAGCACTTCCCAGTACTACTTTGTACTACAAAGCTTGCACAAAGCACGTTCCAGTACTACTGTGTGCTACAAAGCTTGCGCAAACTACTTCCCAGTACTACGTTGCGCTACAAAGCTTGCACAAAGCCCTTCCCAGTACTACCGTGTACTACAAAGCTTGCACAAAGCACTTCCCAGTACTACTGTGTACTACAAAGCTTGCACAAACTACTTCCCAGTACTACTTTGTACTACACAGCTTGCACAAAGCACGTTCCAGTACTACTTTGTACTACAAAGCTTGCACAAAGTCGTTCCCAGTACTACATTGTACTACAAAGCTTGCACAAAGCACTTCCCAGTACTACTTTGTACTACAAAGCTTGCGCAAACTACTTCCCAGTATCCAGTACTACTTTGTACTACAAGGCTTGCACAAAGCACTTCTCAGTACTACTGTGTACTACAACGCTTAAACAAAGCACGTTCCAGTACTAGTTTGTACTACAAAGCTTGCACAAAGTCGTTCCCAGTACTACATTGTCGAAGGAAGTTTAGAAGTGAAACTTCCGACAATATGGACAGTTGAAAAGCAGAGGTGAGAAGAGTCAGAAGAGAAAAGATCAGAAGGAAGAAGATGCAGATGCGCGAAAAGATAGGAAAGTTGCGATTCACTGTGTTTTTCCAATGATTTGTGGCTCTGGAGGGTCGAAAAGTAGGCTCGCTAAAGCGGCGGGTGCGGAGCCAGCTGGCCAGATGAGAGATGAAAAATTGCACGCCGTTGTGGCGCGAAACACATTTGGAAGTGAAAATGGACAAAACACCAGAGGAGCGGACCGCTTTTGGCGTTTGGGATGGCGAAAAAGTGCACGCCGTTGTGGTGCGAAGCACATTTCCAAGTCAAAAGTGTTAAAAACTGACGGTTCTCGGACCACTTTTGGAAGTTGAGTTTCGAAAAAGTGCACGCCGTTGTGGCGCGAAGCACATTTTGAAGTGAAAATGTACAAAGCACACCATGCTCGGACCACTTTTGGAAGTTGAGTTTTGGAAAAGTGCATGCCGTTGTGGCGCGAAGCACATTTCCAAGTCAAAATGTACAAAGCACCAGGGGTTCGGACCACTTTTGGAGGCTCAGATGTCGAGTTTCGAAAAAGTGCGCGCCGTTGTGGGGCGAAGCACATTTCGAAGTCAAAATGTACAAAACACCAGGGGTCCGGACCACTTTTGGAGGCTCAGATGTCGAGCTTCGAAAAAGTGCACGCCGTTGTGGTGCGAAGCATATTTGGAAGTTAAAATGTTAAAAACACTAGGGTTTCGGACCACTTTTGGAGGTTCAGATGTTGCTTCGCTTCACTCGACTACACTACATTACATTACACTACGCCGCACTACACTACATTACACTACATTACATTACACTACACTTCACAACACTACAGGTTACAACTACAACTACACAACTACAGTCCACTACACTCCACTACACTAAATTACACTACACTACATTACACTACACTACACTCCGCTACACTCCACTACCCTACATTACACTACACTACACTCCAATACGCTACATTACACTACACTACACTCCACTACGCTACACAAACTACATTACACTCACTACACTACGACTACGCTCCACTACACTACATTACACTACACTACACTTCACTACACTCCACTACATTACAACTACAACTACACAACTACACTCCACTACACTCCACTACGCTACACTTCACTACATTACACTACACTACACTCCACTACACTACAAATACAGCTACACCTACACAACTACACTCCACTACACTCCACTACATTACACTACATTACACTGAATGACACTGAACCAAAGATAGACAGGTAGACAGCTAGACAGATAGATAGATAGATAGATAGATAGATAGACAGGTAGACAAGAGTGAGAGAGATCAATCGCCTTTCAGTCCAGCAGTGGCTTCGCTCTGCCATCTCTGATTCACAACAACCAATCTCTCCTATAGGTTTCCTATTTTTGAAACTTCCGCCACCGCCTTGTGCGGTACTACTGGTACTACAAAGCTTGCGCAAAGCACTTCCCAGTACAACTTTGTACTACAAAGCTTGCACAAAACACTTCCCTGTACTACTTTGTATTACAAAGCTGGCAGAAAACACTTCCCAGTACTACTTTGTACTACAAAGCAGGCACAAAGCACTTCCCACACTTTACAATTTGCATTCCACACTCCATACTCAACACTTTACACTCCACACTTTACACTTTGCACTTGACACTCCTCCCTCCTCACTCCACACTTTACACTCCACACTCTACACTTTACACTCTACACCCTACACTCCACACTCAACACTCTACACTCCACACAACAATTCGACACTCGCAACTGCGGCATAAAGTTCCAGAGCAGCTATGACCTTACTGGTGACACTCTGCATCTCCTTGAGAACATCTGGTGGCACGCGCTCGGACATGTAAAACTTCTTGGCTACACGTCCCTGTCTCACCGCATATGCAACCATGCCTATGCCTGCCAAAGTGTCGTCCTCGGCCAAGAAAGCACCAGTAAAAATCACCACTTTGTTTTCACTAGAATGAGCACACAGCACTCGAGGATGAGCCCCGAGCACAAAGGCCTTAGCCCATTCCAGTTCCGACACTATCCCAGGGTTGAGACTGGGAGAAGGGCCCGCCTGATTTGCACGGGCATGGCACTCACGCATATGCAGGGCTACCGCACGACTGAAAGTCTGACTCTCGGCGAACTGAAGCTTACCCCTCAAACTGGCAGCTTGAGCGCTGGTGAAGGTGCCCAGCTGCAAAATTTTGGTGATCTCCTCGTAGATCTGTTCCGCTCTGGACTCTTTGTTTCTGACGATCACTTTCCCTTCTTGAGCAGCTTGGAAGTCAAAGACCACGCCCAAAGCAGAAAAACTTAGGGACATCGGAAGCCTCTTGTTCTCCTTCTTGGAGTAACGCCACCCTAGAAGGTCCATCAGGCCTTCAGCAGTGGTTGTGGCATCTTCACCAGCCATAGCTACATCCAGTTGGGGAAAATCATCGTAGTAGTTAGACCATACCAGAGAAAAGAGTCGTGTACCGACGCAATGCAAGGCTCGGCTCACTCGGTTAAAGGCATAAACCGAGGCAGAGGCACCAAATGGCAAAACTTGGGAAATGAAGTATGCATTGGAGCCACTGGGCCTGCGAACTTGCAAAGCACTGCACCATAAAGACGACTCACGAACCAGGAGCTGCTTATAGGCAGCCTCAAGATCAAGCGTACGGCCTGCAAGCTGTCTGGCACTGGCCACGGAAAAGGAAGGGTGCAAGTACCCTTTCATCACTGACCCGTCACTCAGCTCTAGCTCAACAGTGCCATCATCAGCAACGGCTTCGATCATGGTGCGGGCCATCACGGATATTCCATCAACTCCATCCAGATCTAGTTTGTAGGCCGCAGCAAAAGCAGCATTGACAAGGCTAATGGACATGTCGTCTATCGGCCTGCACTTCTCCCCCTGCATCAATCCGAAACGGGGAGAGGCTACAAACAACGGCCCCAAGCGCTGCCTGATCTCATCCTGACTGAAAGGGCCTTGGAGCCATCCGCGCTGAACTTCATCCATGGTAGTGGCCCAGGTTTCTTCAACCACATTCAGGCCCTCAGCATGGCTATCCATGCCTTTGGCTGCCACCATTTTGCGACTCCAGCGAGAGGACTTCACAAGCTGCTCCCTGGACATAGCTGGCAGAGTGTCTTCTTCAAGGAAAAGGCTGCTGCAGCCTGACTGGCCAATTAGGCTAAAACCAGCCAGCAAATCTTCAAGAAGTGAATCATCCACTACACCAGCATCTTTCGCCATTTCAGAGAAAAGGAGGAAACGCTTGTCCTTCACGATGTTTGCTCGAGCCGGTTCCAACATAGCATGCAGGGCATTTTCCCGACTCTGGAGTTCCAGCTGTCTTCTCTTATAGTAGGCAAAAGCTTGGAGTCTTTTGTCTTTCACCCCTTTTGCCCCCAAGGTGTACAGCTCGAAAATGTTCCTCTTGACTGCATCATCAACGTAGCTGCTACCATCAAAAGGATGCGAAAGACGGAGGGCTGCTTCTACAAATTCATCTGGGGTTCGATAGATGCCCACCTTGCAGGATCTAGGGGTTTCATCGGCATTTTTGCTCACATCCGATACCGACCCCGCTTGAACACATGTGAGCAATTTGGCTCCACCTTGCACTCCCAGCAGGTCGCATTCATGACTTTGGAGTTTGCGGGGCACTGGTTTCGTGCGAGGCAAAGTGAAAGAAAGCTCACAGACTTCACGAAACTCTGGCAAGACTTCGGGGAAACGGTTTCCACGTGGTTGTTTGCCTGCCTGAGCCATGGCTAAAGGAATGGCTTTGCGGCGCTTGCTGGAGACGGCAGAAACATTTTGTGCCCCCAAAGCCTGAGCAGCTTTGTGAATTGCTTCTGAAATTCTTGAACACATAAGCTGAGGATACTCGGCTTCTTCAGCAGTGTTGAATCTGTGGCCTTTGGATGAGATTGCTACGCCCCAAGGAAGGTGATCATGCTGTTGGTCGCATTCCACCGCCATGTGGTCAAAGTAGGCATGATTAACGTACAATGAAGTCCACTTGTCACGACGGCCTCCATGCATGCATTGTTGAAATTTAACTTCGTGGAGGCAGAGGTCCTGGATCAAGGACACAAACCACTTTGTAGCCCACATCCAGCTGCGACTTAAGGGTTTTCGACGCTGATTAGGGCTCCAACCTCGTGAGCAGCTCGCAGCAGAATGCAAATGTTCCTGTAAATGGCATTTGCAGTTTGTACACGCTTCAAATCTGTGCTTCGAAGATGTGGCAAACCTTCAGGATGCAGCCCACTCCGCAAAGGCTTCGGCTCACGAACACCTGCTGCTCTCAGCCTCCAGGATAGCTTGCGTTCTCTTGCACGGCTTGCCGTGCCACATGGAGGTGCGCAGTGCAAAAATAGCACCACGCCTGGCTGTCTCAAAAGCGATTTGAGATACTGGACCGCTTCATCACTGGCTAGGTCAAGTGCTATGGTTGCATGCAACTGCTTATGGCGATTTTGCTTCTGGTCAATGGCCATGACTTTGAAGCCCCGGGCATATAAGGTTGCTGAAAGCCTTGCACATCCGGCACACAGCTCAATGCAAAGGAGTGAATTCATTGGAGCCCCTTGGAAAGTTGAGCTCTTCGGTGAAACTGAGGGCCCTGCAGCATCAGCAGGGCGTCACTGCTGCTCGCAGTTGTTCTGGCTGTGTGCACCTCCACATTTAGTGCACACATGACGGCCTTTCTCACATTTGCCTCCAGCTGAGGCGTTCTTGCAGCCTCTCAAGTTGAAGCTGAAGCAAATGGGCTCATTGTCCTTGGTCATGGCATTCTGCCCAATGAGCTCCACAGGCATACGAATCATCGACCGGGAACTTTGGTTGCCTTTGCGCCCTGAGCTCTTTCCCTTGCCTCTGCCCTTCTGCATGTTACGCACTTGACCCTGCAGATTCTCAATGGTCTTCTTGAGGCGCTCAGTGTCAGCCGAGGAGGACTTGCTTTTGGGTTGAGATGGCTTTGTATCATCATCCATCTCGAGCTTGCGCTTGGTGCCCGCAGGAAGTGGCTGGAGGTGAAGGCGTACCTCCGGCAAATTGATGATTGATTCAACAGCCTCCTCAACGGGCATCTTGCCCCCCACCGGACGGATACCAGCACGAGTCTGTTTGATGACCAGCTTCCAGAGTTCCAAATCTGCTTGCTGGATCTGCTCAATGCTCACCTTCTGGTACCCTGCAATCGGCGTCTTGGAGTAAGCCTCCAGGAGAATGTTGCTCCATTTCTCCAACTTGTCGTAGTTGCAGAGGCGACTTTGATCAATGGCTAAACTACGGCGCTGAAGTGCATAGCGGAGTCTCAAGTCAGACGAAGTGTCCGCCTTGATCTCTGACTCCACTTTGACCTGGCGAATGATGCCTTGGGAGTCAGGCTTCCATGTAGGGTCAACCTTGATACCCATCAGCTCTTGATCTCTTTTGGTGCACTGCTCCCACCGTATGTATCTCATCTGATTCTCCTCCACCATCTGAAACACTACATCAATGAGCCCATGTGAGGGTTCGAGCTCACCCGTCAGGTCTAAGCCTGACAGCCTAGCCACCTGGTCTGCATAACGAGAGGCCCTCTCAGCTTGCGCAAGGCATCTTGGCGGATCACCCTCTCGCTGTTCGATGCGAGACCTCAGATCAGCATTGGCCAGAGTGTAACTTTCATAGAATAGCCTCCTCACCAAAGGGACTCTCTCAGATGGAGGAGGATCAGCATCACAAACACGGCTGATCAGCAACATGAGTGGCTGCTCATCAGCTTGTCCCGGTGTGTAATTTGCTGCGAATGCAAATTTGCCAAAGGTGTTCACATTGGCTTCCTTGATGCGCCGAAGCTCATCGGGCAGCACACCGATCTGTTCAGCTCTGGACTCAAACACAGCTGATGAGTCCAACATGTTTACCTGAGTGCACCGCTACTGAACCCAGCTGCGGGGTCACTATTGATCATGCCATGTGAGAAACAAACAAAAGTGCGTGCACACGCAAAGAGCAACATAAACAACAAAACACAAAAGGACAAGAAAACCAGCAGCCAAAACTTACAAATCAAGCAAGGAAAACAAAGCTGGTCACGACATCAGATTTCTGTGCCTTACAAACAACTCTGCAGCTTCAAGTGTTACATCAACGACATCCGTTGGCCCGGAGCGGTCCTGATCGAATCTTGCTGCAGATTCCGTGGACTTCCCACGTGGCACCATCGCCTCACATAAACATGCAGTGGGGACAAGCTGAAACCCTCAAACAAAAGCTTGCCCTCACTCGCATGAAAATAAACTTAACCTGACTTCAGGTGACCGCACATGAAAGCACAGGTAATCACACATTTTCCTGTGCACTTAAACTTGAACACTTCCAAAGCACACTTTGCACTTTGGGAATGCCGCATCCGGGTCTGACTTGTATACATAATATGCCTCTGAAATGGCACGGCCGCATCCCGTGCGATCACTGTGGTCAACATGGCCATAGTGCAACATCCTAGTTCTGGAATGCCTGTATACCTTCAAGGTGTCACTCTTCTCAGCTGGAATGGCACGACCCCTAAGACCACCAGCACTACCTTCATGGTATGCATCTATATAAGCATGGCTGAATTCACAATCTGATTTTGCAGTGCTGTCACTTGAATCACTGCTGCTACTATCATCTGAGACCAAGTCATCACTCGATGCCAAGCCTCTCAATGGGAACTCCTCAGTGGGCTTGAGATACTCGACCAGGCCCACGTCCGGGAACGGGGTTTGGCTCTTGAGCACAACAAATCGCCCATCAGCTTCCCGCATGGCAGCTGTCGTAGGGAACCAAGCATCCTCTTGGAAAATTCGTGCTGCATCCAAAACATCCAAACCAGTCTTTTCCAAAAACTGCCGCGTCAAGGGTTTACGTTGCAAGGCCGGAGGAAAAAGGCTGTCACGGGCTGCCCCCGGCACATAGACCCCGTCATGCACTTGCTTCATCATATCAACAAGCCGCCTGATAGGTTCACTCAGGCAATCCCGAATGTAGTTCAACGCAGATGAATGCTCCTTATTGACATGATAGCCAAGAAGCTCGCTCGTTGTCAGATCGCAACCCCAAGTGTTCATCCATGCCAGGAGGGTGGCTTTCAGCGAGTGGCTTCGAATGCCATACAAGTCATCCTGCGAGAACCCGCTGCCCAAAAGGCTGAGCAGTCGATCTGTAAGCTCAACTGAGCCTATGGGATTCTGCGTTTCATAGCCCAGCGAGCCCTTCTCTGGAACCAAAACGAAGTCCAGGTCATGCGCTTGGCTCTCCAAGGAAGGAATATCACGCAAGCCCAGATTGCTCCTAGCCTTGACAAACTCCAAAAACCAGGGTTTTCCCAGCAATCCAAAACTCGGCACAATCAAAGGAATGAAACTCGTGGCTTTCTCCTTGCTCTTGGCCGTCTTTGTCCTGGACAAGGCGCCCTCGAAAAAGCGGCCAATCAAAGTCCCATGTCTGGTTCTGTTAGCGTCACTGCAGCGAAGTCGCCCATAGCAGCAAAACAAGCACAAACCAGCGATCATCCTGTCATAGTCGTCTGCCACACTAAAACAAGCAATTTCCAGCCAGCACAACATTGTAGGAACCAGCATGTCAGCCCGGGAACGTGGTTGCCTAGTCAAAATCATTTGATGGCTGGCCCCTTTCACACGCTCGGAGCCTGCAGAGTCAATGGCTCCAGGAAACTTGAAAGCCTCGCCCACATACTTGAGGGTGCCCAAAAGCGTATCCACTCTTGAAGCAGACTGGCCCATCTGGCGACATTCACAGGCATATGCATAGAGCTTCGACTCAGTGAGGGGATATACCGGCTCATCAGGATAAGTATGAAGAAGCCATGCATAGTACATGCCCAGTGATCCTACTCGTGTCCTGAGTGTAGATGTCGCCTTTGTGACGAAAAGGTCATTGAGGGTTGTCATTACCTTCAGCTCATCATCAGCACATTCCAGCAACATCTTTCCTGGAAGTGTGTCTTCAGGCATAATCATGAACAGTTCCGCCCACTTCAAGAGCAAAGAGCTGCGTGCTTGATCAGCTGCTTGACTGACATGTTGATGCACTGTATGCCTGACTTGAGCTTTCCTTTCAGGCACAGTCATCTTTGCTCTAACAGGCTGCAAAGTCGACGGCACATAATTCATACTTCTCATCATGGCAGGGGGTTTAAGCCAAGGAACTTCTGGAGGGCCCAAGACATCTCGAAGGAAAGGATTTGTCTCCCAAGGAAAACGAGGACCACTCGAAGGTCCACCCAATGCCATGGCTACATCTAAAGAGCGTTCAACCGCTTCAAGCCGGGGATCCCTTAAGGAGATGACATCCACCTTCCCAGGGTCAACATCTGAAATTCCCCGCTTTTTCATGATAGGACATCCCTATCTAATTGACATCGGTCCCGCCCACCCATCCCTATTGGGCCAATGGCAATGACACTCATGCTTCGTTCTTCAATCACTCAACAAAGACCAACAAAACAAGTTCGAATGGGCTCCTGTTTCCGTTAGCGGTTTCTTTTTATCAGGAGATGGTGTATTCTCTGGACAGTGATGAGACTCCGTACACGGCCCCTGTCAAGAATCGATTTACAGGAGATTGGGTCGCTTTGCACATGATGTCAACTATTTGTCGTCTGACTGGTCAACGCAATGCTTCGTACAACTTTTTGAAGAATGGTGGTATGGCGTTCGCCCAGAACCTGAAAGAGTTGCGAGCATCAGATTTAGCACTTGCTGCCAGAGTGGTTGAACCAACGTGGGGTGACTCTCTGCAGCAAGTGCTGAAGAATGATGCCGTGCCTCGGAAGGTGAAGGCCTGCTTTGAAGCGATGCAGGCCGCGTCCGCCAATGTTGTCGGCACAGATGGACATCGTAGACATTGTCGCCATGAAGGGTGGGCTTACATGGAGATGTTTGGTCCTCCGTTGATTTTCTTGACCCCGAACATTGCAGACACTCAGCATCCCTTACTGCTAGTCATCCAAGGGGAAACAGTGGATCTGGGTGGAGTGGCTGCTGACATGCCAGGCACGCTGCCGAAGTACCGGGATATGATCCATCGCCTCGCGCAAGATCCGGTCACACTACACGACACTCCACTACACTCCACTACACTACAACTAGAACTACACAACTACACTCCACTACACTCCACTACACTACATTACACTACATTACACTACCCCACACTACCTTCCACTACACTTCACTACATTACACTACACTCCACTACACTACAAATACAACTACAACTACACAACTACACTCCACTACACTCCACTATACTAAATTACACTACACTACACTACCTTACGCTACACCACACTCCACTACACTACGTTACACTACACTACACTCCACAACACTACAACTAAAACTACACAACTACACTCCACTACACTAAATTACACTACACTACACTACACTAGATTCCACTACACTACACTACATTACACTACACTACACTACCTTCCACTACACTTCACTACATTACTCTACACTACACTCCGCTACACTACACCTACAACTACAACTGCACTCCACTACACTCCACCAAATTACACTACACTACTACATTGCACTACACTACACTCCACTACAGTACATTACACTACACTCCCTTCCACTACACTTCACTACATTACACTACACTCCACTACACTAGAAACTACACCTGCGACTACACAACTACACTCCACTACACTCCACTACACTAAATTACACTACATTACACTATACTACGCTACATTGCACTACACTCCGCTGCACTACACTACATTACACTACATTACACTACACTACATTACACTGAATGACACTGCACCAAAGATAGACAGGTAGACAAATAGATAGATAGATAGATAGATAGATAGACAGGTAGACAAGAGTGAGAGAGATCAATCGCCTTTCAGTCCAGCAGTGGCTTCGCTCTGCCATCTCTGATTCACAACAACCAATCTCTCCTATAGGTTTCCTATTTTTGAAACTTCCACCGCCGCCTTGTGCGGTACTACTGGTAATTTTAGAGAGAGAGAGAGTGAGAGAGAGAGAGAGAGATTTGGTCCATATTGACGCCGAGTACACGCACTAAGTGCCCCCAATGATTTCTGAACTATCTGTGGAAAGGCAACGTGAACACGCGCAGTGCTCAAGCAAAACCTCTCTATAAAATCGACAAATTAGTCTCTATTTGGGTGTCCTTCAAACCTGAACTGTCCGTTTTGGAGTCCTGCGGTCCGCGGTACCTTGCGGTATAGAAAGTGGCACGATGTTTGGGGCATGTACCGACCAAATTTTGGAGTTTAGATGGCCAGGAGGCGGGAAACATATGAAAAGAGCCCAGTTTCTGGAACTTTTTGAATCTTTTTGATTTTATAGAGGCAATGGGTTCATATTGAAGCCGAGTACATGCACCAAGTACCCCTATTGATTTCCGAATCACCCACAATCCGTCCTGCGGAAAGGCAACGTCAACACGCGCAGTTCTCAAGCACAACCTCTCTATAAAATCGACAAGTTAGTCGCTACTGGGGGGCCTTTCAAACCTGAACTGTCCATTTTGGAGTCCTGCTGTGCCTCACGGTATGGAAAGGGGGAATGATGTTTACTGACCAGATTTTGGAGTTTAGAGCTCATGGAGGCAGGAAACATATGAACAGAGTCCAGTTTCTGGAACTTTTTGATTTTATAGAGGCCGCATTCAAAGGCACAACCTTAAAAAAACAACAAAAAGTTAATGCTTTTTTTTTGGGGAAGGGCTCCCAAGAGGTATCTGAAACAATCTAGAACTAGTTTGAAACCATCTCTATCTATCCATCTGTTTGTTTCTCTTTCTCTCCCTCGCTCTCTCTATCATCGAAGGAAGTTTAGAAGTCAAACTTCCGACAATATGGAGAGATGAAAAAGCAGTCAGCAGGGAGAAGAGTCAGAAGAGAAAAGACCAGAAGAAAGAAGATGCAGGTGCGCGAAAAGGTAGGAAAGTCGCGAAACACTGTGTTTTTTTGTGGTTTTGTGGCTCCGGAGGGTTGAAAAGTAGGCTCGCTAAAGCGGCGGGTGCGGAGACATCTGGGGAGATGAGAGATGAAAAGTTTGACGCCGTTGTGGCGCGAAGCCGATTTCGAAGTGAAAAGGTACAAAACACCTCAGCATCGGACCACTTTGGAAGTTGAGATGTTGAAAAAGTGCACGGCGTTGTGGCGCGAAGCACATTTGGAAGTAAAATGTCTTAAAAACTGAAGGGATCGGACCACTTTTGGAAGTTGAGATGTTGAAAAAGTGCACGCCGTTGTGGCACGAAGCACATTTCCAAGTCAAAATGTGTTCAAAACTGAGGGGTTCGGAGCAGTTTTGGAAGTTGAGATGTCGAAAAAGTGCACGCCGTTGTGGCGCGAAGCACATTTCGAAGTCAAAATGTTAAAAACATTAGGGGTTCGGGCCACTTTTGGAGGTTCAGATGTCCAAAAAGGGCACGCCATTGTTGCGCGAAGCACATTTCCAAGTCAAAATGTACAAAGCAAACCAGGCGCGGACGACTTTTGGCACTTGAGATGTCGAAAAAGTGCACGCCGTTGTGGCGCGAAGCACATTTTGAAGTCAAAACGTTAAAAACACTAGGGGTTCGGACCACTTTTGGAGGTTCAGATGTCGAAAAAGTGCACGCCATTGCGGCGCGAAGCACATTTCGAAGTCAAAATGTTAAAAACACAAGGGCTTCGGACCACTTTTGGAGGTTAAGATGTCGCTTTGCTTCGCTTCACTACACTACAATACACTGCACTACACTACACTCCAATACACTACACTACACTACATTACACTCCACTACCCTAAACTACATTACACTACACTACGCTACACTACCTTCCACTACACTTCACTACATTACACTACACTACACTCCACTACACTACAACTAGAACTACACAACTACACTCCACTACACTCCCCTACACTACATTACACCACACTACACTACATTACACTACACTACACTCCACTACAGTACATTACACTACACTACCTTCGACTACACTTCACTACGTTACACTACACTACACTCCTCTACACTACAACTACACCTACGACTACACAACTACACTCCACTACACTCCACTACATTAAATTACACAACATTACACTACACTACACTACATTCCACTACACTCCGCTACACTACACTACATTACACTACATTAAATTACACAACATTACACTACACTACATTCCACTACACTCCGCTACACTACATTACACTACACTACATTACACTGAACGACACTGCACCACAGATAGACAGGTAGACAGATAGACAGACAGATAGATAGATAGATAGACAGTTAGACAAGAGTGAGATCAATCGCCTTTCAGCAGTGGCTTCGCTCTGCCATCTCTGATTCACAACAGCCAAACTCTCTTATAGGTTTCCTATTTTTGAAACTTCCGCCACCGCCTTGTGTGGTACTACTGGTATCTATCTATGTGGCACTCTGTCACATCCACCTTCGTTTCGCGTGGCAGGCGTGGCGCTTGGTCACGCCCACCTTCGTTTTGCGTGGCAGGCGTGGCACTTGTGGCACTGGGCTGGCTCTGGTGTCACACGCCATCTTTGTCACATACCATCTTTCACACACTTTCTCACACACCATCTTTGACACACCCTCTTTCACACACCATCTTTGTAACACACACACACAAGCCCCTGAGCGGTCAAGTGGTGAGGAACCACAGGGTAGCTGTTTGTATGCCCCAGCGTTCCACTCCTTGGTGTCGCCATAGCCTACACGACTGTTGACATCACGACGACTTCAACAAGCAGGGAACATTCTGGCATTTTCATTGGCTTCCTATACAGAATTTTGCATTGGTCTTTCATTTCATTGTGCTCACGGCCCATTGCTGACAGATATTTTGAAGACGCATCCATCAGAGCGCCAGCACTACTGCCTCGACTGGTTGGGCAGCCAGACTGTGATTGCAGGTTCCACCAGATCAGCAGCCAACAATACAACATTTTATTTACACTGTTTCTGCCACGGACTTTCTGCAGTGGGGTCCATTCCCAATACAAATTTTGTCCTTCGTTGAGAATTTCTATTTGTGCTGCTACCATCTGGACCATCAGTTGGATACTGATCAGCGTGACTGTGAGCTACACCCGGATTGTTTGCGAGTGGATTGCTTTTCTCATTGCTGTTGTGACATTTTCAATTTTTCCAACACTGTTTCATTTTCTGTGGGCTTTCTGCAGTGGGGCCATCAACATCAAG